ACAAAAAAAAAAACACCGGTTCCGCCCACGGTAGGGGTTTAGGGTTTAGGGTTTAGGGTTTAGGGGTTTAGGGTTTAAGGGTTTAAGGGTTTAGGGTTTATAGGAGTTTAGGGTTTAGGGGTTAGGGGTTTAGGGTTTAGGGTGATACCCTACACCAAAACCCTAGTAGGAGTTAGGATTAGGGGGACCCTTGGGGATGTAGACCCTCTCAATAAGGTCCCTTTTAAGAGAGCCGGAAGTAGGGTTAAGAAGGGTCCCCATTTAGGGGATCTCCATAATACTACCTAGGACCCAAACCCTAAACCCCTAAACCCTTTCAACCCTTGCAACTCTAAACCCCAAGCCCCTGAACTCTAAACCCTAAACCCTAAACCGCTACGTAAAGACTAGCCTCTAGGACTCTAGAGTTGAGGATGTAAGACTTGCGTGGCGAGGATGCAGGACTTAAGGTTTGGAAGTAGTAGGAGGAGTAGTAGTAGTAGTAGTAGTAGTAGTAGTAGTAGAAGTTGTTGTTGTATGGTTTAGGGTTTAGGGAGTGCTCAGGCTTTAGGATTTGGGATTCCAGCAGAAAGACCATGATTGACTTAAGGCTCTAGGGGCTAGAATCTCGTGCGTAGCTTTAAGACTTGTCGGTTAGGGGTACAACGAATTTGCTGAGGATTCATACAACGTCTGTGGCTTGTTTTCCAGCGCTTTGTCCGCCTTTGTGTAGCCCTTGTGGCTTCACGGTCTATACAGCGCCAGAGGTGCGTGGGCGGATGCACGCACAAACCGACGCACAAAAGTAGATAGGAACCCTTACGTCATGAACGGTTTAGGGCTTTGGTCTAAGTAGTTTATATTATTAGCTGAATAGACGCTAAGCCCTCAACCGTCCTATGGCTCAGCAACAGAAGTCACTCCGGCAAGCAGGCCGTGCCGTCATGGGCTCTAACGAAGCCGGTCTTGCACACAGAGCAGCGCGGAGCCTGGTTGCAAGAAAGGGCTTCCCTGCATGACAACCTTGAGTCGATGCCGAAAGTTGAAAGCCCGAAACTAGGGCCCCGAAAAAGCACATAAGCAAAAATTAGGATAGGGATATCCCATATAAACCCCCTTATAATGAAGCTCAATAAGGTAGGGATATCCCTATAAAATGCTTATGCTTATGTCCTTTTTGGGCTCCTAAGAAACCCAGTCTTGATAACACGAGGTTCACGGTTTGGAGTTGGTTCAGGCTGTGGGGTTTCGGTTTTAGGGGACGGGGCTGCTTCATCAAGCATAAACAAACGGCACGCCCATAATCCAAAAGAGCACAGGCCACTGATGGATCAAGCCCTTTCTTTCCGACCTTGATGTTGTGATCCCGGTTCTAACCCTCGTGAAGGCAGGGCAGTCCATGGATCAGGGATCTACATTAATCACGGCTCTACAGTAAATAACCGGCACCACTATAGACTACGAATGAAGCTCTTATTGCTGGCCTTGTCATAGTTATAGGCCTTGTCATAGTTATAGGACCTGCAAAAGAGTTCACCAAACCCCAACCCCTAAACCCTAAACCCTAAACCCTAAACCCTAAACCCTAAACCCCCCTAAGCCCCCAAGCGCCTGTAAATGCTCCAAGCCCCCTGTGCCCCAGGCTTTCGGAGTGCTGCTACAGTTGATGTGCTCGCGACCGGCGCAGTTCTCCACGTCAGGGCCTGGCTGCTCTGATCGTTTTTTTTTGTTTTTTTTTGGGGGGGAGGGGGGTGGGTTAGGGTTTAGGGTCCGCCGACCCTG